TGGGGAACAAAGAATGTGATCTGCCACGTTCCGGGAGCTGTACACCTGTGGGCGGGACCGCCCCATAATTCCCGGGTCCCAACTTCGGAGGTGCAACCTAGTTGGACTTCGGATCAGGTCCACAGCTTGGGACATACCTCTGTCGCCTTTGATGCACGCAACTACCATGCTCTCAGGAGTGAGTCAGGTTGGTTGATTGTGGGTTACACTCCCCTAGGCATTCATAAGTTGCTGAGGCAAGATAAAAGTTGGCTACGGGAGATCGGTTTTAGATTACCTGCGGGTGAAGACGATCCTTGTGAGGTAAAGGCGTTCAGACCCACCATTGGAGACGTTGATCCTTCAGCATCTTCCTCTTCCCATGTGCCCTCATCGGGTCCCGCGCAGCATCCAGAAGTGTTGCTTCCAGGATCGCAGGTCAATAATGATTTGCAGGAAGATAGTGTTACCGCCTTCATAGGTTGGGACCCTTCCGGGGGTAATAGATCACTCCTTCCTCAGGAGAACCTGGAAGAGGCAGACATGTACCAGTACTTGCAAGAGCGAGAAGTAGAATGGACCTTCAAGCGATTGCAATTCATGGGGGTAGAATCACCAGCGGATTTGTACTACCTGTATACTGAAGACCTAGTTGAGTTTGGTTTGCCCGAAGAGGACGCTAGGAAAATTATGCGGGGTATACATCCTGAAGGAACTATGCGTCCGGATAACCCCAATGGTATTTCTTTGAAGACTGGGGAAGTCCGACTTCTGGATAGGGGCCAGCGACAACTTCCTTGGGCCATCCAGAATAGAACTCTGGGTATGAGGAGACCAGGACCTCCAGTCCCAGGTTTAGGCGTAAGGGGGTTTGATGATAGGCCCGACCCCTACGTGGAAGACTGGACTCGGCTGGTAGACCCGTATCGTGAGGAAGGACCCGTTGTCCCTCCCCAACTGCACGACCCAGTAGTCTTGACAGATCCAGAAGGTGAGGTGCCAGAGGTATCCGTGGTGTTAATGGAGGAGTCAACTCGCGTTCAAGTCCCGCAGTTGCCGAGCAGTAGTGGTGACGTTTACAACTCCAGTGGTTCTGTGGGCCAGATCGGAGAACAGGCTCAGAGCGCTGACCTGTATGCGCTGCATAGTGTCCGAATGCAGGCCATCTGGGATGCTGAAAGCCCGGAGGAATTTGAAAGGTTGGTAGAATTCCCAGGTCGTTTCGATGGCGCTGACTCATCAACCTTGAATCCAGACCCTGTGCGTGGCGCTGACGCAAACACCCCAAGGGCATCGATGGTCTTGGTTGAGGAGTCAACATGTGCTCAGGCTAGTGATGATTTTGGTTGTAAGATGGTAGCTTGCAACAGTGAGGATGTGAATCTCACCTTAAGGACCGATGATGGTAAGGAGGTGCCGCCGGCAGGGCAAAGGGTTCGAAGGTCACCTACCGCTGCTAGGCCACCCACTTCAGCCGATCCATCCTTTGGTGTTGCATTTCCATCGGTAGTGGCAGTGCCGACTGCTGCAGTTGTAAAGGCTGAAGAGACCGTGCAGGTTAGCAAGGTGCTAGAGAGCTCCTATACCCCAAACATTGAAGACCTGCTTGATGGGTTAACAGGTCCATTGGAGGTTGTGCATCAAGTTGCGCCGGCTGAAGTGAAGAAGTACCTCGATAGATGGAGGGAGCCAGCGCTGGATGAAGTTAACTCCATGGTCGGGATGGGAGCAATAGTGAGGCACAAAGGCAGAGAGGCCCAGATGCTTCTGAAGCAAGAGAACGTCGAAGTCCTACCATCCAAGGGCGTCTTCACTGTGAAACCAGGGCGGCCGTATCGCCGTAAGGTTCGTGTTGTGTCGTGTGGGAACTACGCGAAGTCAGTTGCTGAGGAGGTTCTTTACGCCTCTGGTGCCCCGGCCGAGACGCTCAGGACTGCCCTCGTCTTTGCAGGCTGTCGCCGTAGGCAGTGCTGGTCCACTGATATAAAGTGCGCCTTCTTACTTGCACCCATTCCGAAAGGGGTGGGAAAGAAGTATGTGTTGAAGCCCCCGGCAATTTTAGTCGCTATGGGAATTTGTAGTGCTGATGAGTATCGGGAAGTCTGCCGAGCCGTGTACGGCTTCAAGGAGGCACCTAAGTGGTGGTCTCAGTATCGAGACCAGGAACTGGCCAAGGCAGAGTTCGAGACCAACCAAGGTCCAGCAAATCTACGCCGCACGGTCAGTGATGAGAACTTGTGGGAGATAGTGCTGCGATCAGGGACTGTGATAGGTCATGTTCTGGTCTACGTTGATGATCTGTTGATCTTAGCTTGCAGAGACACCGCTGTCTCGTTCCACCATTGGGTTAAGAGTAAGTGGGGATGTTCAGATCTTGATCAAGCGACTTCTACGAAACCACTCAGGTTCCTCGGGGTGGATATCTATGAAGTCCAAGACGAATTTGGATGTAGGGGATTTTCCTTGTCGCAAGAAGGGTATATTGATGAGTTACTCAGGAGCCATGCCCTTGAGCCTACCTCTAAAGCAATAGTTCCGGTTCCCCGAGATTGGGTTAAGGAGCAACCACCGCCTGAGCCGGGTTATCCTGAGTCTGATTTAAAAGATGCCCAGCGGCTAACCGGAGAACTCCTATGGGTTTCCCAGCGTACTCGTGCCGACATTGCCTTCAGCGTGGGACTCATGTCAAGCTGGACTGTCAAGAGCCCAGCATTCGTGGCCAAGATCGGCATAAGAGTGCTGTCTTACCTGGGTAACACAAAGGACCTTCGTCTGTCCTTGGTTCCAGAAAGGACTGAGGACGCCGATCCCCAACCTCTTTTGACCATGTACTCGGATGCGTCATTTGCACCGTACGGTGAGCGATCGATTAGTGGAGTTGTTATATTGCTCTGCGGCCGTTGCATCTACTGGAAATCCAGAAGGCAGACCCTCATGAGTTTGTCCACCGCAGAAGCAGAATTGATCGCTGCTTGTGAAACTGTTACACTGGGGCAAGCTCTGGATTCCTTGGCTGTTGACTTGTATAAGCTTGAACTTGGGAAGTTGCTGAGGGTAGATAACTTAGCTGCCATAACTCTTGCAGAAGGTAGCGGATCTCAGAGAACTCGACACCTTCGTGTGAGGTCGCATTTCCTACGTGAGCTTATAGATGAAGGAAAGCTCCGTGTTACACACTGCCCAGGGGAATACCAGCTTGCAGATGCGCTCACCAAGGCACTCCCAGCACCAAGATTGAAGCTTTTAAATGAAATGCTGGGAATTGTGAATCCCAGTCAGCTGCAGGATCGAGAGGTGAATGCGGTCCGGGCAGCTTCCACTGCCTTTCAAAGTCTTGACCCCGCTGAGGGTCAGAGCATCATGTTGGTGTTGGCCTTGCTGATGTTACAAGTGACGCCTGTTGCGTCACAGGATGATGACGAAGAAGTGTATGAAGGACTGAGTTTGGATCTCTGGATAGTGGGATCATTGTTGGCCTTCTTTCTGTTAGTCATGTGGGAAACGGGAAAGCAGTGTGTGAGGAGATGTTGTGCCGATCGCGGTGATCACTCGGTGTGTATGATTGCTGCCGATGACTCCAAGCAGAGCAAAAGGGAAAGGCGCCAGGAGGCAGTACGTAGGGCGTTGGAGCGAGAGACAGGTGAGGGACTAAGGCGCAGGTTTGAGAACACCCCTTCTGAAGGAGAAGATCCGCCAGTTACCTCTCACACGGTAGGAGGTGCTTCCTCCTCGCATGTCCATGTGCATGTTACCGCACCCTCCTCCTGCGCTGAGTCAGCAATTCCGCCTCCTCCGCCACCTACCTTATCACCTCAGCGGACCTTGACTTACTCCGCTTCTTCCGCTGCTACACCTGTTCCTCCACCTCCACCCATTCCCGATCATGCTGCAGGCTCCAGGGTTAAGGTGGAACCAGTTCAAAGGGCCTCGCGAGAGATAGCTGTACAGACCGACGGTCCAACCGGACTCACCAATCAGGAACTCTGTGAAGTTGAGTTTACAACCAGTAGCGCAAGGACTCCAGGTGTGCTACATATTTTTCCTGAGTGCCACGCTCTCCGAAACGTTTCTAACACCACTCGGAGATCTATCTGCCGTTATTGCCTGATGACTTTGAGACAGCGGGGACTCAGGTGAGTGTGGGTTTCCAGGTTAATACCTGATGCACCCAAGGAGGAGTGTTGAGATCCCCTTTAGTCTAACCATGACGAGGGTAGATGTGCCACGAATCCGTAAATGATTTTCGGCCTAAGCCTTGAAGGCAAAAGCAAGGGACTGAGTCCCATGACTGATCTTATGTCCGTAGGACAATGTACAGTAGATCAAGGCATTGCATGCATCTAAAGCATAGCAAGACTAGCAGAGCTAGGTTGCGCATTTGCTGTTCTGAGTGTGAAAAGCCCGGTCATAAGCCCATGTCGGAACCTACCTGCCACTGATCTTCGATCCTTGTGGCACTACTTCAAGAACTACATGGCCACCGGCAATGAATTCGACAACCCTAATGAAGTCACCATGAATGATGAACAACAGGGTTCTATAAGGGATCTATAAGGGTTTAGGGTTTAGGGTCTACTAATCACTAGGATGCCCAGTAGTACCCTTATTCCCTTTTTGTAGTCCTAGGTTCCTTATAAAGTTACCCAATACCAAAAAGAGAGGCCTTTTTATTCTTAGGTTACTGGGTATCCTAGGGAAGCAGCGAGGTTATCCATCAGCGGTTTTTCAGATCTTTTTCCGGAGGCTCATATAGAGGCCTTAAAAAATTAGAATAGGGTTCCTTTTAAAAGGAACTATAAGGACCACTACTTTCTGGCGTCTCCTTCACTCCTCGTGAGTCCTATGGCCCAAAGGGTCCAAAGTATTGTTATGGGGGATACTTCCCAAAAATCATCATAGAAATTCCTAATATCGAGACCTGACATTCTACTATAAAGGTGCTTTGGACCCTTTGGGTAGTGCTAGGCCCCAAACTTGGCAGTGGGATGAACCCAGAGCCTGAGTTATGGAGCCGAAGCCAGGTTTACGAGTGCTGCGAGGCCTCCTGCTACTGCGCTCTTCGACAGGTGCGCCTTCGAGGGGACTACTGCAGCCTGTTAGAGTTTAGGAGGTTGTAAATCTTAAAGCACGACTTTCTATGCGGTTGCGCCCAGATGGCTTTCATGAGGATGCCCTAAACCCTAAACCCTAAACCGTGGGCTGTCAAGGGTTCGAGAGTTCGGCATCACCCGAAAACCTGACAACACTAAACCCAAAAGCCCCGGAAACCCTGACAGGACGACAAGAACGGGGCGCCGCAGCCTCTGGCCTCGACGAAGCTTCGCCACAAGCTCCTTCAGAGGCCCCGTCCTTCTTTACGCAAAAGGTCCTAGGTACTGTTATGGGGGATACTTCCCCAAATTATAGTTGTAACTCCTGATATAGAACCCCCACATTCTACTATATAGGTACTTCGGACCCTTTGGGTTAGTGTTTTCCCACCACAAGATCCTAGAAGGACCTGACAGGAGGAAGCCCTCATCCTGGAAAACACTGGTATTCTAGGATCGTGCCATTTTCCACATGGCTCCCATGCGGCTTCATGGGCTTTTAGGACGATTTTACGAGGGTTTTGCAAGGTTTCTGCGTTTGTTTGCAAGATTTTGTCTATTTCACGACCGCATCAGAGTTCCCTTACATGCTTGATGCAACAAAAGGCTGCAAGCTGTTAGGCCTAGGACGTTCGAGTTCAATATCTCGCCAAGCTGCTTTCCCCCAACCCTCAATCTCAGAAGAAGAATGTGAAAAAGGAGCTTCATCACTAGCTAGGATGCCCAGTAGTACCCTTACTTATTCCCTTTTTGTAGTCCTAGGTTCCTTTTAAAGTTACCCAATACCAAAAAGAGGGGCCTTTTTATTCTTAGGTTACTGGGTATCCTAGCTAGTCTATGTTCTCACACTTGGCCATTCAGAAACCGAAGCTTGAGCCCGACTCAGAAACCCAACCAGAATCCACCCCCCCAAAGCCGTAAACTCACACCTCTAAACTCTAAACCCTGACCCGGAACTCTATCCCCAAAGCCCGAAAGTTCAACCAGAACCCACAACCAGGCTGGGTGTTCAACTCGTGCAGATCAACGTGTGGGAGTGGAATCGACTGAGTGAGGCCTACATATTTTTTAACCGAGTTTAGAATGTTTAGGGTTAGGGTTTAGGGTTTAGAATGTTGAGGGTTTGGGGTTTAGAATGTTTAGGGTTTAGGGGTTTAGGGCTTTAGGGTTTAGGGTTAAATAACCCAAAGGGTCCTAGGTACTGTTATGGGGAATACTTCCCCAAATCATAGTAGTTATTCCTAGTATAGAAACCCTACAGTCTACTATATGTGTACTTTGGACCCTTTGGGTAACCGACTTTAGAATGTTTAGGGTCTAGGGTTCAGCACATTGGGTTAAGCTGGGATTCACAAGGGTCTACTATTGGGCATCGGTATGGGGCTTTGTTTACTGGTTCGCCCTGTGGTACCCCTAAGCTATATGCCGTTGTATTTTGGGGAGTTGGCAATCGGGACCTTGGTTTACATCAATGTTCATGGACTGGCGGGTTTGTTGACGGAAGTCGCCTTGTATGGTTTGTTGCCTTAGGGTTCCGGGCTTACACTTACCTTAAAGACCAAATGACCTTTCAAAGCAGGTGCCCCATCCCTTATACACTACGAATCCCTATATCGTATATGAACCTTGAACCCTCATAGGGTGCAATTCGTCCTTATGGTAGGGGTGGAGGTACCTTCGCAGGCAGGCACCAGTTGTTTCCTTGTCATCTTACAGCCTCTGACAGTGCTTGGAGGGTCGGGGGACTTAGTAAGTAGATAATAAGTAGAGTTATAAGTACCCTAAAAGGGACCCTAATTGGGGATATGGTACTTATAACTCTCTAAAATAACTGCTTAGTAAGTCCCCCGACCCTCCAAGTGAGGACCGCAGCTTATCAGAGGACCATCATGCTGACCCTGCTGGAGGCAGCAGCGGCGATTCACATGTTCCACTTGCCACAGGAAAGACAGGAGGCCCGAATATTTCTCCCAAGCTTTGCCCATGCAATATGAATACTACGACTGTGACGCAGCACGAACTTGGTCCGATCATTACAACCCCGCCATCATGGGCATCAGGAGGCATTCACGTGCTTCTTCCGCCTCCGCCACGACCACTTGGCTGGCGCCACTCGAGACAGATCTCGGCCCAGCCCATCACAGCTGTGCCGATACCTTCTCGTCTCCCGGTTCCTCAGCAGGACCTCCCTTCTTGCAGGGTCGGGGGACTTAGTAATAGTAACTGGTTATTTTAGGGACTTATAAGTACCATAACCCCAATTAGGGTCCCTTTTAGGGTACTTATAAGTCTACTTACTACCTACTTACTAAGTCCCATACCGACCCTCCCTTGTAGATCCCCTTATGATCCCCTCGTAGAGCCCTTTAAGGAACCCCATAGATCCCTTTAAGGGTCCCTTATTACCTACTTACTAAGTCCCCCGACCCTCCAAGTTGTCACCAGCATGAGCCTGGCATCCGTCCGAATAGGTTGGGGAGCTGCAAGTCGCCATTGCTGCCAGCTGTCAGGAGATAAGTTCCTAAACATTCCTTGCCATCATACAGCGGTGGTCATAAATGGTCAGCACATCCCACCTGTCCCCTGCTGGCACGTATGGAACATCAAAACACCATTCTAATCATTAAGGCCCCATATATTGGTTCTACGCGCTGGGGGCCGAATGCGGCCGTGGATTCTGAAGCTCCCAATAGGCTTAGATGGGTTTAGGATGGGATTTTGGGCGTATGTTGTAGGGTAGGGTAGGGTTATAAGGGTTTATTAACCCTGAAGAACCTACCTTTTTGGGGTTCCTTATTATATACGTCATTATAAGTCCTTAAAAGGGTAAGTTCTTCTGGGTTAAGGCAGGGCTTTGGGTTTGGTGTTTAGAGCGGGGTTTGTTTGCAGCGCTCTGCAGGCACAGCGCGTGAACTACATGGTGAAGATGCAGTCCCTCTGAGCGAGCCTTCATGTCGCTAGAGTCTTAGCTTTGCTTAGTAGGGAATGGAAGAATTGCAGCCATAGTAGTTATATAGTAGTAATATGGTAGTAATATGGTAACCTGGTAGTATCATGATAGTAATATGGTAGTAGTATGGTTGTAATAGTAGTTATAATTGTACCCCATTCCTCCATTCCCTACTAACCAAAGGTAAGATTATAGGATTATCAAGGCACCTATATTGTAGTACCCTTATAGATCCCTTATAGTAACCCTTATAGACCCCTTTACAAGGCTCCTTTAATTCCCTACTAACCAAAGGTAAGAAGTTCGCTGTTAAAAAATACCAAATCTCAAGCCTTAAAGCCTGCTGCTGGTTTCCAAACCCTAGACCCCAAACCCTACTTGGAGGGTCGGGGGACTTAGTAAGTCAGTAATAATAGTAGAGTTATAAGTACCCTAAATGGAACCCTAATTGGGGATTATGGTGCTTCTAACTCTCTAAAATAACTACCAAGTAAGTCCCCCGACCCTCCAAGTAGTCCATAAACCCTAATTGAACCATAAGCCCCAACCCTAAAGACTTCAGCAGGGTTGGCTTGCCCAAAGGCTCCATGTAGACCTATAGTATACACTTAGGCCCCAAAGTGCCTATATAGGAACCCCTTTAAGGCCTAGGTATATACTATATGGGCACATGGAGCCTTAGTTCTGTTAGGATTCACACCAGAGGGTTGACCGACTGCAATTTTGTAGGCTTTTTCATTATTTGAAAAGGTCCGGCTTCGCGGCTAGGGATTGAAGGTTAAGGGGCGGGTTTAAGGTTTAGGGATTGAAGGTTAAGGGGCGGGTTTAGGGTTTAGGGATTGAAGGTTAAGGGGCGGGTTTAGGGTTTAGGGATTGAAGGTTAAGGGGCGGGTTTAGGGTTTAGGGATTGAAGGTTTAGGGGGCGGGTTTAGGGTTTAGAGATTGAAGGTTAAGGGGCGGGTTTAGGGTTTAGGGATTGAAGGTTAAGGGGCGGGTTTAGGGTTTAGGGATTGAAGGTTAGGGGGCGGGTTTAGGTTTTAGGGATTGGAGGTTAAGGGGCATAGGGTTTAGGGATTGAAGGTTAAGGGGCGGGTTTAGGGTTTAGGGGCTGAAGGTTAAGGGGCGGGTTTAGGGTTTAGGGATTGAAGGTTAAGGGGCGGGTTCAGGGTTTAGGGATTGAAGGTTTAGGGGGCGGGTTTAGGATTCAGGGCTGAGGTTTAGGGGGCGGGTGTAGGGATTAAGGTTAGGGATTTAGAGTTTTCATTTGGACCTAGCGTTTAGGGTCCAGGGTTTACGGCTCTGACAGTCAAGGTACACAGCCCCAACACCAACAATGTCCAACCGCGTCAACATCCAGAGCCTGATCTCCCTCGCTAACCAGGTCGTACGTCAAGGACGAAAGGAGCCCTAAAAGGTTTTATGGCTCAACGACCATATAGGGATTCATAGTATGAGGGGTTATAGGGCCCTACTTTCAAGAGCCATTTAGTCTTTAAGGTAGTGGAGTGTCCACATGACATTGTTTCACCCGCATGTCCTGGAGACAGGCAGCTCGTGCGAATGAGCCGAAACGCATGCGTCACGTGAAACAGCCACAAGCCCCCTGAACTTGAACCCTAAGCCAGCAACTTCAAAACAACCCAAGCCCCAAAATTAGTACTCACTTCTGGAGTGCTGAATCGTCGTCTTCAAGAGATGCTGGCTGGCGCTAAATCGGCGCTGGCCTTTCCGAAGTGTGCAGCCGTGATAAGAGGCTGTCAATCCTGGGTTTAGGGATGTTTAGGGTTCATATTCGGGGTTGAGAGTTTATAGGGTTTCCTAAGGGTCCAAGTACCTAATTATCATCTACTCTCCAAAACAGTAACCTACATCACTGCTATCCGAAAACCGAGTACCTAACTATGGGGTCCTTTGGACTGTAAAGCCGCAATATATCCCCAATAACAACCCCTTCTAGAACCCTTCCAGAGCCTTTTCCTTGTGGGAACCTTTAAAATCCTCTAATCCCTTTATAGAACCTTCTAAGAACCCTAATTAGTGGATCCTTTGGACCCTTTGGGTTTTGGGCTTTAGGATAACAAAGTCATGGTCCCTTTTTGGGTACCCTATATGTTAGGTGCCGTACTGTAGTAGAGACCCAGAAAGGGACCATAATGTTGACAACCACCCATATTTAGGGTTGAGAGTTTACAGGGTTTTGTTTTTAGGATGTGAGGCTGTCGCTCGTGGCTCAGGCTTACCAATCACCCGGCAAGGATTTGGGTGCCAGTGCTATGGATTTAGGGTTTAGTTTGGGTTTCGGGTTTAGTTTGGGTTTAGGGTTTAGTTTGGGTTTAGGGTTTAGGGTCTAGTTAGGGTTTAGAGTTTAGGGTCTAGTTAGGGTTTAGGTTTAGCTAGGGTTTAGGGTCTTGGTTGGACCTGGGTTGATTTTTGATCCCTTGGAATCAGGCGTCGGAGTCAGCCCAGCGAATCCTTGTAGGGATTAGACATCCCGAATCCACGGGGACATAATATATTTGGCCTAAGAAATTACCAATACTGTTTCGGTGGCTCCTTATTATCATAACCCCCCAAACAGCCCAACTCGAAATATTAAAAGGCCTTTGTATTGTATACATGACTCGAAGAATTGAAAGGCCCTTGTATTATATACATGAACCTTGATTTCCACAAGCCCCAAAATCCCGTCGTCGTGTAAGGGGGAATGTTGAGCTCTGACAGCCCAATCCCCTCGAAGTCGACAGCGGCCAGAAACGTGGCCGCCAGCATGATTCTGAATGGGGTGGAACTGCTGATGGACCAGATCCTGCATTATCTTGCATCAAGCAGGTGCACACACTGACTTACTTACTTATTTCATCTCCCATAGCGTGGTGTACACAGGGCAATGCGGGATTTCGTCCATGAGCGAAAGGTTGGCATGTACGGGGGCCCCTCGAAATCAACCACGCAACCCATTAACTTTCGCCAATAACGCCGACCTGAAACCGTACGGTTGATGATATAAATCCTGCATTACCTTAAGGACCCTAAACTATGGGAATTATGGTATATTCCTTATTATGGGTAATGCAGGATTTATATCATCAACAGTACTTCCTACCGTGCAGTCCTACTCCCGACCCTCCCTAGGCAGTTCCCGTGCGTAGAACCTTGATCTCCCGACTCCCAACCCCTAAGGCTCCAGGTACCCATATAGTATACCCCAAGGGTCCAAAGGACCCAGTAATTAGGTACTCGGTTTTCGGATAGTAGTTACGTAGGTTACGTAGGTTAGGATTTTGGAGAGTATATGATTATTGCGTACTTGGACCCTTGGGGGTATATACTTAGGCCTTAAAGGGGTTCCTATATAGGTACTTTGGGGCCTAAGTGTATACTATATGGCTACATGGAGCCTTTGGGAACCAAATGTTTCCGATGCATCGCATCCACGTCTCGCGCGGGCGAGCGAGCGAGCGAAGAAAAGCTGGAGCTTGTTTAGGTCCCGGCCCTATGGGTGGGTCCATGTGCCCAAGCAAAATATACTTTGTAAATGGGGATCACTTTAAGGCCGAAGTTTGGGCGATTTGGGTAGCTGGTTGAAGGCGTCTTGGTTGTAATTCTTCCTTAGAGGCTTAGAGAGAGCTCTGAAGGCTTATGACCTTAAACCCTAATTTTCTTGCGAGACATCAAAAGTCCGTTGCATTTTTTATAAAAAACTGACTTATAGCCGAAGCCGTTGGAGAATGCTGGCTTTCGGGTTTACTTGGAGGATCATGGGACTTACTAAGTAAGGTTATAAGTACCTCAATTGGGGTTGTAAGTATAGTTACCCTAATTATAACCCTAGTTACTAAGTCCCATGATCCTTTAAGTAGACCCTAAACCCTAAACCCTATAGATCCCTTCAAGGAACCCTTATAGATCCCTTTTAAGGAGCCCTTTAAGGAACCCCTATAGTTACTAAGTCCCATGATCCTTTAAGTTCTGTTTCTGGGTCAAGAGCTCCAGCTCTGAGAGAACCCAGAGACCCCAATATCCCTTAATGAAGGAATATACCTTAAGTCCCTATAAGGGATCTATGAGGGTTGATGGTGGTTGAGGGTTTTAGGGGGCTTCAGTCTCCCTTAATGAAGGAATATACCTTAAATCATATATAGGGGATCGTACCATAATTTAAGGAATATTCCTTAATTAAGGGATATTGGAGTCTCTGGGAACCAGGTTCCCGAGTATCATACTTGGAGGGTCGGGGGACTTACTAAGCAGTAATTTGAAACGCTGCGCGTCGTCCGCCTCGGCCCGGCTGTACGCGCATGCGGCGAGTGGCTACTATCTGCAGCAAGCTCTTGTAGGAAAAAAGTAACAGTTGGAATCGCACTTATAGTAAAAGTAATGTTCATAGCAACACGAAGCAGGATGATTGTGAGTAGTATTATTAGTAGTGGTAGTATCAGTACGAATTTTGGTGTCGTCATTCCGAAACACTGGATACCAAGACTCTCGCAAGCGGCGGGATGCCTTAAGTATGGGCCGTTGAGGCTGTGGATTTCGTGGGCGTCTTGGATTAGGGAAGCATCACAGCCTTTTCAACCACGTTACTCCCCAACGAAAGGGCGTCTAAAACAAGCCTGAGACGCAAAGCCATCAATTCGATACCAACATAGGGGCCCAAACAATGATTAAGACCCTGCTGGGTTTTTTTGATAGAGTTAAAGTATATTGAAGTCATTAAGGCCTTGCAAGAAATAGAGACGGCAGCCATGCATGGCCGCTGGGCGCCACCGGAGCTCCCTTAGTACTGCAGCCTTACAGGCGAGCCCCAATTTTTCGGGCTGGGGTTAGGGTGTAGGGTTAGGAATTCAGGTTTGAAACTCGCTTGGTACTGCAGCCTTAAAGGCGAGCCCCAACACATAAAGATGCTACATTGCAGTCCCGTGTCGTCGAAAACTCCAGAAAGCTCGCACCTGTCAGCGAGCGGAGGAGGGGCGGGAGGGAAGGGGGGAGGG